TGCGTGTGCGTGTGCGTGTGCGTGTGTGTGTGTGTGTGCGTGTGCGTGTGTGTGTGTGCGTGCGTGCGTGTGTGCGTGAGATTAAAATAGCCCAATTGCTTTTACAATAAATAAACATTGAATGTGTTTAATTGAATAGTAAAGGGGTTTAACGTTAGTGGCAGGTTGTGTGTGAGAGAGAATAAATAAGACAGCCCAATATTTAAAAAAAAATCGATAATTCTTTTCCCGCATATTTAGCATATTTCGCAACTTCCCGCAGTTTCACCGCATAAAATCACATAAACCCCGCATGTTTAATCGCATAATCAAGGAATTTTGCCCGCGTTTTTCTGGAGGGTCTAACTGTAGCTTTGTACATATTACAATAAATCCTCTGAATTGAATTTGAATTGAATTACCTCGGGTGGTGGAGGTGTTGGTGCAGCCCTCGACGGGGGGACGCCGCCCGGATCATCGCTCTGTGACGTCCTCGGGGTGAAAGGTCTCGCTTGTAGTCTCTTCCTGCTGGAGACGTAGGCCGTGAGAGAGGGGAGAGCAGCGAGAGGTGACCCCTCCTGGGGGAGAGGTCTCGTCTGTAACCCCCTGCAAGGTCTCTCTTTGGGGAGATATGACGCATTGGGGAGAGGTCTCGACGGGGTGAAAGATGTCCGGCACAAGGTGAAAGATCGCGGCGTGGGGAGAGATATCGACGGGACGATGGGGACGAAGAAGGCGAGATCGGGGATGGACATCCGGAGATTTCTAACCCGGGGGAGGACAGGCGAGAGGAAGGGTCTGGAGAGGGGAGGTCTTCATCCATGGAGGGGGGAGAAAGGAGTTGATTCCTCTGAAACTCCGCCTGGCTGTGGATGATCGGTGGAGCCTGAGGAGTGATCTGGATGCTCGGCACGGTGGTGAAATACCCGAAAAGCGGCGGTTTGTTGGCGCTCCCCATGAGGTCCGAGGGGTGAGCGAGGTGAGAGAGGGGAGAGAGGTGAGGGTGGGAGGAGGCCATGGCGGTGATGGACATGGAGGGCAGGCTGAACGGCTGAGGGCTGGTGGAGCGAGAGCGGGTTTTTGGCGTAAAGTCTCCATCGTAGTCGTCCTCGTCTTCGTCGTCATCGTCCACGTCCTCGCCGTCGTCATCCGAGTCGTCGGCGTCGGAGAACTGGTGATCCAGCGAGACTCGAGACGTCTTCTCACACCGCTGGCCTTCCTCCCCGACTTCTACGAGAGGAAGAGGAGGGACAAAGATTAGGAGGGTGCAAAGTCAAAGTCAACTTTATTGTCAATCTCTGTGTACAGACAGAGAGATCGAAATACCGTTTCCTACAATCCCGAATACAAAAATACAAATATATATAAAAATATGTATGCAATGTGTATATACCTATATCAAATACACATTTATACATACGCAATGCAATTGTAAAAGGAAAAAGAAACAGAAAGAAAGGTTAAGAAGGCGAGGGAGAGGAGAAATAGTTGGACAGGAGCAAAATAGGAATATTATACAAAAGTACAAAATATTGGAGGGAAAAATCAAAAGTGAAAAGGGAATGTCGAGGAGATGGGAAAGGAAGGAACTAAGGACAATTAGTTAGTAAAGGAATCAAGAAAAGAAAGAAAGAAAGGAAAGAAGGAAGCGTACATCAAACAAAAGAAGATTAAGCTGAGAGGGAGAAGCAGTTCCTATTAATATGTTGAAACAGAAACAGTTTCAATGTGAAACGAAACAAAACTGAACCCCCGTTCCCACCGGCTCAAACCAATAAAGTATGAAACACCATAAAACAAAGTTATTTTACGCTTTGGTTTTTCTGCTGAATGGACTCCAGCCAAACGTTGGCAAGGTCTTACTTTACTGTACAGTAGCTGTAAAGTTACTGTTGGCAGGAAACCAAACATCACTCTGGGTCAAGAGAAGCTGGTGACTCACAAAAAGGGGAATGTGGGGAAATAAAACGCTCCTTTCTGTGAGTGAAAAGTTGCCGAGGAACTTAATGAGCTCTTGAGATGAGAAACCATTATATTTATTTTTTTCATCACTTTATTTGCTGCTTCTGGAAGTCCTCCAGCGTAAAGAAGCCGTTTTGAGTTGGGATCAGTTCGTCTCTCATATTCAACAGTTTTTTTGTAACAAACCACAAATGTTTATGTCTCACAGACGGACTCTCTAAAGTTTGCTTGTTCCCAAAAATGGTGTGTCCCAATTGAATGCCGAGTCAACACACGCACGCACGCACGCACGCACGCACGCACGCACGCGCACACGCGCACACACACACACACACACACACACAAACACACCACACCACACCACCAATGGGACTTCAAACACATTTGAAATTTTAATTTAGTTGAGTTATGAGATAAAAAGTCTGCGCTAAAATCGTCAAATACACGTTTTCAAATATTGCACTTAAAAAAATTGGTAGAACCACTCAAATATATAAATATATATTCTATAGGTTGTTCTGTGTGGTGTGTGTATGGAGAGAGAAGAGAGAGACGAGAGAGAGAGAAAGAGAGAGGAAGAGGAGAGAGAGATGAGAGAGAGAGAGAAGAGAGAGAGATGAGATCGGAGAGAGAAAGAGAGATGAGGATGACGAGAGAGAAGAGATGAGAGAGAGACGAGAGAGAGAGGTGTGTGATGTGTGGTGTGTTGGTGTGTGTGTGGTGGTGATGTGTGTGTGTGTGCTGTGTGTGTGTGTGTGTGTGTGTGTGTGTGTGTGTGTGTGTGTGTGGTGTGTCAGGACCGTCACTGCCGGAACATTTTTAATTGTGGCTTCTGGAATTGTTCATGGGAATATGTTGTAATCCAATAAGAAACTCTGAATTTCCAACAAATTTATGGAATGATGGTTTTTCTGTCAGTTTAGTGTGGTCTGAGTGAGTGCTCTGCTTTTTCATTACAATAATTGTCCCAATTACAACCGCCACCAAGGCAAAGACACTCGGATGTGGTCTGTGTGTGTGTCTGTGTGTGTGTGTGTGTGTGGTGTGTGTGTTGTGTTGTGTGTGTGTGTGTGTGTGTTCGTGTGGTTGTTCGATGTTTGATTGTGTGTTTCCTACTCCTTCGCGCCTCGTTGTTCCTCCCACAGAAGACATGGAGACTCCCAACCCAGACACTTTTTTCATATGACCTTAGACTTTCATGGCTTCGTCAGGTTTCTCAAAACACACACCACACACACACACACACACACACACACACCACACACACACCACACACACACACACACACCATTTTAATGACCCTTCGACTAGTCTTTACTGGAAACCAGAGCTTGGTTGTACTGATGACAAAGTAAAAGAGGGTGAAAATGGAAATAGAAGCGGTTGAACAAAGCGATGATCCACAAAAATGACAATTTACAAATATATATAATTTGTACAAAATGTGATTTAATGACAAATTACTAAAAACTTAGTCTGATCTTTCTTGGTTGATATGCGAAACCAATATATTTTGTATGTGAAGGAGGGAAATGAAAATCAGATAATGGGTTCTTTATTTGGAAGTGTTACAAGTCAACGAGTCAGCATCTTTCTGCAGGCTGATACAGAGGTTCCTGTCTGACACATTTAACCACTTAGTTTCATGTTTAGGATTGAAGTTCTTCAGCAAATGTCTTTAACTTAGGTTTTATTGCCACAGAGTTTCTACTCTTAACCCTTTAACTGCCGGACCAAGAAAAAAGCATGGAAAAATATTTGTTGCATTTTTATCAATATGGGCCAATATAACCACAAACGCCATTTTTTTTGTTTACTGACCACACAGTTTTGTTTGTGAGCCTCTATCCAACTGGTCGAGCTGGCCTTTTATGAAAAGTGCATTTTCATAATCATCATATACAGTGCAGTATTTGTATGCATCAAACTCAAATAAAACACAAACTGACAATACATTTGTTTCTTTTATGGAAAATGAGCAAATATATACAACC